ACCACCACCACCACCACCACCACCATCGCCGCTCTTCGATAGATCTGGACACCGGCGCATGCCACAGTAGACGCAGGCCAGGCGTGATCCGTCGCTACGAACTTGCGCAACGATGAGCGTCTCGCCCTTCCCGCCGAGTCAGTCGGCCATGGCTACTCAATCAACCCCTCCGCGCTCGAGGCAGCCATCCGCACACCACACGCCCACACAAAGCGGAGACGAGCCCTTCTCATCGGCAGCTGCTTACAGGAATCACATGTCGCCCGTGGCTTCTCCGCCCCCGCAGGTCACCTACGAGCGAGTTTCGGCTATCCACAGCCCTCCGCCGGCGTCCAACTTGGTGATCCACGATCCACACGCATCCGCTGCGCCCTCCCCAGCGCCCAACGGTTCTGCCGCAGTATCGCCTGCTTTCCAGCGAGCAGGCGGCGACGGTCGTTCGGCCAAGTTCTCGGCAGCGGCCTCGAGCAAGCGCGATGGCACCGCCTCCATCTCCAAGTCGGCGCGTAGCAGCGCGACCTCGTGGCTCTACGGCGGCCCGGATTCGTTCATCCGTGTGCCCTCGCGCATGGCTGCACTCTACATCCTCGTCACCACCATCGAGGCCATCATCGTCATCACGCTCGTCGGCTACATCTTTGGCAAGATCGTGGCCGAGGTGGACAACTTTACGCAGAACCTCAAGACGGTCTCGGTCTACCTGGCCGTGTTCGTGTTTGGCTCCGTGTTCCAGGTGCTCATCGCCTGGGATGCGGTGCGTCTCAAGAACACGCTCCAGCTGATCGGCGTGCTCATCTTCAACATTGCGCTCACCATCACCGCCGCCATCGAGATTCGTCAGGTGCGCGACGCGCTCAACGCCCAGGACCAGATCGCCGGCGGCTATCCATGCCCGGACAACCCCAATCGTCTCTGCCGTGCACGCTCGCTCTTCCCGCAGGTGGAGACCTACCTGATCGTCGTGACGGCCACGTGCTTTGTCGCCGAATTCTTCATGATCTACCTCAGCTACAAGCTCTGGCGCGAGTTCGGCTGGATCGTATACCAGAAGATCGGCGCGGACCTCAAGGTGCGCAACATGTTCTTCTGGTACCAGCTCTTCATCGTCTTTATCAAGTTCACCTTCTTCTTTGGCGTCGGCTTTACCGTCATCTATCTCATCCTCGTGGCCGATACGACGGACTGGGAGTACGGCGTGACGATCGCCGCGGTGCCCATTGCCATGGTTGCGCTCTTCGTCGCCGGGTTCTCGGTGCGACGAGAGTGGTCGAGCTTGATGGTCGTCTCACTGCTGCTCATGATCGTCGGACTCGTCTACTTTGTCTACAAGCTCACGCAGGTCTGGGTGCCTGCGACGCGCGACGAGTACACCTACGTGCACACCACCATCACCTTCATCTCTGGATTCGCCATCCTTACGCTTAGTCTTACGCTGCTCAACGGATTCATCTGCCTGCTCAATTTCCACAAGGGGCTCAAGCCGGCGCACGATGCGATTGGTACTTTTGGCGGCGTCCACCGCCCGCGCGCGCGCAACGAGAACGAGGGCGGCGACGTGCTGGACATTGAGCGCGATGTCGAGCCCAAGGAGCACTCGAATGGTTCGACGCCTGCTCCTATGCACCGCGGTAGTGTGGTTTCGGGCGGCGTCGTGGATCCACGCAGGGGTAGCGGCATGGTGCACAGCCCTGTCTACAGCAACGGCGCCCACGAAACACCAGCCTTCTCTCCGGCTATGAATGCATACACTGCTCCGCCTACCGCAGCTACGCTCGGCAATGCACCCGTCCTAGCACCCCAACCTGTACAAGCTGCGATTCATGACCCTGCCTTTGCTCCAGCTCCAGCGATGCAAGCTCCAGCGATGCACGCCCAACCTGCGCCCACATCGCAGCAGTTCCTCGACGCCCACGCCCCACGACCCTCGGCAACACGCATCTCGCTCGATTAAACCCCACTCTCTAATCCTCCACCTCCCCGCTGTATACCCTGCGCTCAATCAGATTCACCCTTTGGAAGCTCTTTCACATTGACACCCCACGCGTCACGTGCACGCGCCTGCTCTCGTCTCACTACGCACACGCCAAGCGACTGCTGGTGGTGACGAAGCGGACACGAAACTTTTGCGATTATAGCAGAATCAAAAATGCAGGAGGAGCCAAAGATGGAAGCGAAATGGAGGGAGCATGCAGTCTAAGGGTGAGGCGGATGAGGAGAACGAAGGAAAAAGTCCATGCGAGTAGGCGAGATGCAGGTGACGCACTGATGGCGTCGGCGTCTAATGCGAACGAGACCAATGTGGAAGGTCGAAGGAATACCCTTGGCAGTAGCAGTGTAGAGTGGCTGAAAGCTGAGGACGAGAATCATGCAGCGGCGTTGACAGCGATCGAGGGCTGGGGTGCGGCGACAACAGCGGGCGTGGGAGCCTTCTCGGCTGTGACCGGAAGGGTGGAGGTGGCAGCGGGGGCGCCGCCCTTGACGACTTTGCGGAAGGGCGAGCCGGCGCGCTTCTCGATGTTGGCGAGCCAGATGTTCTGCATGACGATCTGAGGAAGAGTGTAGTACCTCCACGTTGCCCAGCGGAAGAACATGCCCACCTCAAGCTGGCGAGTCGAGGCAAAGTCTTGGCTCATGTCCTTGCGCACGTCCTGGAAGAGGGCGGTCTTGTCTGTTAAGACGGCCTTGACGCCCCAGCGCGTGGCCTCGATCATCTCGTCTTTGCGGTTGACGGTCCAGACGTAGATGTCCTTGCCCGCCTCTTGTGCGTCGGCAATAAAGGCCTGGCCTTCGGCACCGACAAGGCAGGCAAAGTACATGGAGAAGCCGGTGCAGTCGTTCCAAAAGTAGCGGCGAGCGGCGCGGGGCGATGCACCAATGTGGATGCGCTTCATCGAGGGCACGTTCTGGAGTGCCGACTCGAGGAACTTGGGATGCCAGAGGCCAAGGATGAGGCGTGGCGCGAGGTCGGTGTCAAAGTTGGGATAAGACTCGATGACGGAGCGCATGAGGGGGAAAAGGCGGTCCGGGTTGTTGTCGGGCTTGATGTCGAGGTTGAGCTTGACGTGCTTGCAGTCGGGGCGCATGAGCAGATCGCACACCTGCTGGAAGGTGGGGATCTGCTGTGCGGGCTGCTTGAGCGTACGAAGCTGCTCGATACCATCCTCGCCATAGTATGGACGCTCGTAGATGAGGCCCTTGCCGTTGGTGGTCCTCTCGAGCGTAGGGTCGTGGAACATGACGATGACATTGTCGGTGGTGATGTGCACGTCGGTCTCGAGGCCCTCGGAGCCGTCGAGGATGGCCTTTTCGAAGCTGGCGATGGTGTTCTCTGGGAAGGTGGCCGAGGCACCACGGTGACCCCAGCACTCGGGCATGTCAGGGCTGACGTTCATTCTTGCGGATCTGGTGATGGGGCGCATGTTGTCCGTGGTGATGCGAAGCCAAGGGGAGGAGCCAGAGAAGGATGCCAAGGGGCGAAGATGACGGTAGACCAGATAGACGGAAGCAGCGATCAGTACCAGGATGGCGATTGGAGCTACACGCTGGGACGAGCCGGCGTGGGAAGCAAATCGGTCGCGTGATGCCAGACAAAGGGGCTGGCGTGTGGGGTAGAGGGGAACGTGCAGTGGTAGGTGGGAAACGAGGACAAGCAAGGATGCTTACCAAGTAGCGCAGGATGGATTGGGGGGAGGTTGATGTTTGGACGTGTGCTGGTGACTATCCAAGCCAAGCCAACAAGCACGAGGGGGTCGACAGCGGTTCGTGGACGAGAGAGAGGAAGGGGTGGGCAGTGGCAAGGGGGAGGCCCTGAGCTCATATCGCGAAATGCCAACCAAAGGGAACGTGACAGGCCTTGACTTGGAACGTGCTCATCCAAAGCGACACTTTTTTTTCTTGTCTTGACACACGCGCCCAAAGCCGAGACCCACCGTTGTGCACGCTTTGATGCCCACCTCGGCACCAGCCAGGGACAAGTGAACCAAAAAGATCATCCAGCGCCAAGGCGAGGCTAACGAGGTTTCCTTGTGCTCGTTGAGGCTCAGCGTGCCGCTTTGAGTCGGCACAGCCTGCGGCCGGGGTGTCCCGCCCGTGATCCTGTGACCCTGTCTCCTTGTGCGAGTGTTGATGCGCTGCACCACTTGGCGGTCCGACCGGCTTGGACTGCAGATGGCTGCGTGTCGCCGGCAGCCGGCGCCCGCCCCCGCATTTGTCGAGCGGCTGCAGTTCAGCAGTACTGTACGCGCCTGACTGGGAAAGTTTTGCACGACGCCGATCGGGTTCAGCATGCGTGATTTGCAAACGCAAAAGACGCAATGCTGCACGACGACATGCGCTTGCTACGGCTGCCACGAGCGAGAGCGCGTTTGGCCATGACCTCTAGGGGGTGAGGCGAGCGACAAGGGGACGTGGAGCTAGCTAGCCGCGCCCATCCGGTGGCGAGGTCTGCGTATGACTGTCAGCTGCAGCTGTGTGACGCCGACTGCGAAACTTCCGCTGGACCCCTTTTGGCCGTCTGCCTTTGCCACCGTGCAGATCCCGTCGTCACGCTCCGCTGTCCCGCCGAAGCTTTAAAAATTTCCAAGGCACAGCGACCGTTTCCAAAATCTCGTCCAGTCGGGCCGACTGGCTGCGTTGATTTTTTTTCATGGAAAGGCTGCGCAGGTGCCCGCAGCGAACCCTACGTGCAGCTGCCGGCCTGGCTGAGCGTCCTCCAGCCGACCTAGCACGAATTTCCTCCCGTAGCTCCAGCT